GCGGAACGAATTAAGTTCGTGAACCGAGGTACCATTGTACTTTATTGATAACACTGAAGACTGTGTTGGTCTTGTTGGTTTGAAAACAACCAAAATGGTGCCTATATAGATGGACATTACCAGATGGAGTACACAAAAATCAAATTGGCTATATTATTAGTACAAAGAAATGGAAGCACTTCTATAGCAGCAAAGATATGACTGGGTGCTAACTGTGAAACAGATCACAAATTGCTCATTTTAAAGTTTGAAGTCAAGCTAAAGTGGAAGACCAAAGCCAGTCAGTTTCCATGATATGAATTGGAATATATACCTACCATTTTCAATGAGAACTGGAATCACTTTGAGGTCCTGAATCACATAGATAGGGAACCAGAGGAATGAGGAATGTGGCATGAAATTAAAGAAAGTGTTAAGCATGAACATGAAAAAAGACTGCCAAAGACCAAGAATCAGAAGAAAGCAAACTGGATATCAGAACAAATGGTAAATATTCCCAAGAGGAGAAGAAAGGGGAAAGTCAAGAAAAACAAAGATCTCAGGAAGAAACTCAATGAAGAATTTCACAGAGCTGTTAGAAGAGACTAATAGCAGTATTACAGTGACATCCATAAATATATTAAAGATGAAAACACACTTAGAAAAACAAAGAAGGTCTTCCAAAAGATCTCCAAACTCAGAAGGAGGCTCCAAATTCGAACTGGTATGCTAAAGGATGCCAATGGACAGATAGTAACTGATTCAAAGATCAAATGAAGACGGAAGGAGTATACTGAAATTCTGTACAGTAGAAATCTCAACATCATATATACATTACAAGATATTCCCTATTTACTAGAACCTCAAATACTAGGTAGATGAGCATTCTGATAATTACCAAGCTGGAAATCTACAGAAATTTATGGAACATCTACAGAAATATGACAAGCATAGAAAAACAATCTGTAAAGGTCCTAATGAAACTATGCCAGTAAATCTGGAGAACAACACAGCAACCAAAAGACTGGAAGAGGTCGTTCTACATACCAATACCAAAGAAAGGAGACTTAACAGGGTATGCAAACTATGATACAATATCCTTAATTTCACATTCTAGCAAAACAGTGCTTAGGATCATGCAAAACAGATTAGAGCCTTGCATGGAAAAAGAGATGCCAGATGTCCAAAATGGCTTTAGAAAAAGCTGAGGAACAAGAGACATTAGTGTTGGTAAACACTGCATAAACAAAGAAGTCAAGAATGCCAAAAGGAATATGTGCTTCATTGAGTATAGAAAAGTCTTCAATTGTGTTTAATTATTTATTTATATTTCAAATTTAGACACCACCCATCTCATGAGGAACCTGTCAAGCTGTGGAATGAGCTTAGAAAAATGGAAATCCCAGAACATTTCATTATCCTCATGCAAAACCTATACATAGGAGAGTAAGTCACAGCCCAGACCCAACATGGTGAAACAGACTAGCTCCAGGTCAGTGGTGAAGTGAGACAAGGCTGTATAATCTCTCTGTACTTATTGAACTATGTGCTGAATCTATATTGAGGGATTAGAAGAAGATGAGCATGGTTTTAAAATTTAAGGAAGAAATATCAATAACCTGCTCTATGCTGATAACACTATTCTAATAGCTGAAAATTCAAATGATCTGCAAGTTCTAGTAATGAAAGTCAAGAAACACAATGAATAAATAGGACTAAGTTTAAATATAAAGTAGGCCAAACTAATAACAACAGGTACAGCAACCAGCCCTGAAACTGACAGTGGAGATATTGAAGATATCTTCCTTCTGCCTTTAGGAATTTACTATCAACACTAAAAGAACAACCAGTCAAGATATACGCTGCCAAGAAGCACTTGGTAGGGTAGTAGCAAAGGTCTTGGACAAGATATTCAGGTGCCATGATGTGTCTATATCTACAAAGATCAGAATCATGCAGACAATGGTTATTCCTGTGACACTCTATGGAAGTGAAAATTGGATTTTGAAGAAGCAAGATAGAAAGAATATTGACACTTTTGTACTTTGATGATGGGGAAGACTCCTGACAATACATGGATAGCCAATAAATGAACAAATGGATCACAGAACAAATCAATCCAGACTTCTCACTAGAGGCACACAAAACCAGGCTCAAATTTCCTT